CATAATTCACGTCTTGAAATACACTTGCGAATCCACACTGGAGAACGGCCGTTTAAATGTTCCCACTGCTCAAGGGAATTTGCATTTCAGCCAAATCTTAGGCGGCACTTGCTAACGCACACAGGAGAACGACCTTACCAGTGTTCCCATTGCTCAAGACCGTTCACAACTAGTGGAAATCTTAAGAGACACATGATCTTGCACACAAGAGACAAATTATTCAAGTGTTCGCAATGTCCGATGAGTTTTACAACTAGGAAAAAGCTTGAGTGTCATCTTCGAATTCACGCGGAAAGACGACCGTTAAAATGTGATCACTGCACAAAGACTTTCGTTTATATTTCATCCCTAAATGTACATTTGCGAACGCACACAGGAGAACGACCATATAAGTGTTCGCACTGCTCGAAGACGTTTGCTCATAAATCAGCTTTTAATGTACACTTGCGATGGCACACCGGGGAACGACCATTTAAGTGTTCTCAATGCACGAAGGCTTTTGCAATTTCTGGAATACTTAAGCAGCACATGCAAACGCACACGGGAGAACGTCCATTTAAGTGTTCCTATGTTCGAAGGCTTTTGGAATTAGTGCAAATCTAAAGCGCCATTTGATGTTGCACTCTCGAAAACTATAATTTGCTCTACAGTTTGGCTCAAATACATTTGCGAGCGTATACAGAAGAGTTATCCTTTAAATGTTTCGATCTTAGGAATAAGATTCACTTTCGAAGGACGTTAGACATTTCTGAAAATCCTAAGCGCACCTCTTAAGACGCAAAAGAACGACCACTTAAGTTTTAAAAAAGGATTGTTTATTTAATGCCATAAATGATGAAAGATAAATTCTTATTTACATTTTAACCACTTTTAAGGTACAATTAAGCAAAAAAATAATAAAAAATATATTATTTAAATTCAATTTTCTTATTTATTTTTTATTTCTTCGTGTATAGTATGTTTTTATAGACGGATACCATTGGAGCTTTTTTAAATTTGTATACATTTTTAATTAATCCCTTTTTTTAATATAATCTTATTACCTACACATTTGTACAAACAGGAATCCACCCGCAACATTAACTTGTTGCACGGTTTAAATTCAATCAAGTAATAACAAAATATGCCGTTGGAATCCGGCTATAATTGGATTTTTTTTGAGCGTCAAGTGGTGTTTAGTATATTTCTGCGTACGATTTTGTTGCCTCCATGGTCACACTGAACTCAAATAAATAATTTTTTGTTATTGAACCAAAGTTGAACAATTTTGCCAAATGACGTCCATAGCAGGAGGACACGGCGAGGCGAATCCAAACAGCTCATGGCTAAGTGCCCGTGGATTCTGGCTGGCCTATCTGCTGGGCATGCTCTCGGTGCACCTGTCTTCTTATCAGTGCCCTTCGTCAGCATTCCGTGGGCCTGGACGGCCACCAATCTGCTCCACAATGCGGTGAGTGCTCAAAGTGCCCGAGTTCCGATCAGCAGTATATCATAATTTTCTCTGTCCAGGCCCACCTGTACTTCCTGCACGTTATCAAGGGAGCTCCGTGGCTAAGCACAGAGAACGATCCCAGCCGGCGTTGGACGCACTGGGAACAGATCGACGACGGGGTGCAGATGACCACAACCCGAAAGTTTCTCACCGCCGTTCCTATTGTGCTGTAAGTGCATTCTTAGTTGTGGAGGGGGAAGTGCCTAGCTGTAGTCTCAGGTTTCAATTTTTATTAATTTATACCAGTTTCTAAAGACTCACTGCGAATCTTTAGAAAATAGATCTTATTTGTATACTGTACATAGGTTCGAATTCAAAAATTAATTTCAGTTCATTAATTTCTTTTTACATTATTTCTGCTTATAATTTATTGACGTATTCCAGTTTTTGTATTCAGATAAATTAATGTGTTTGTAGTAAATTACATTTTATTTATATTTATAGAGAACAACAAAATTACCAAATCATACATATCTCTATACTGTTCTTTGACACCTTTTTATAATGCTTTTGTTTTTATAGTTTCCTACTGACGTGCCTGTACACCCGGAACAATACGGAGCACTTTATAGCAAATTTTATATCTCTGGTGGTTGTCACGCTTCCGAAGTTGCCGCAGTTTCATGGTGTGCGATTGTTTAACATTAATAAGTACTAGAAACTATGCCATCGCAGATTAGATTTATTTTGTTTAGTGAAAATGTATATAACTATACTGCTGGCACAGCTCTTGTACTCAAATTGTAAATCTTGTAAATATTCCTAAATAAAAATAACTAACTAATTTAAAGTGTTGTATCAATAATTTTACTCTTTAAGAGAGGAGAGTAACTATTTCAATGCTCTAATTACAATTTCATGGTTTGTTCTTTTGTATTTGTAAATTTTACCTTAAAGTTTTTTATGTGCACACTATCTAAAATAAACTCCTTCGGCCCGCTTCATGAAAATATTTAGGCTTCTACCAACACTAGTATTTTCTATTGTAGCGTGACGAATTAGTAAATTATAGATAGTGTATTTTTTTAAAGGCCTGTTAAATCATTTTGCGTCACAAAAATTGATATCAGATCTTTTGTATGTTGAAGGTGAGATAGTCACTACTTTTGTACCACGTTAGGAGGTGTTTTTGTTTGATATCAAGAGTTTTTAAATAGACAATTAATCATTAGCAAATAAGTTTATTTTGGCTAGCTGGGTAACGGGTAGAGGGACTCTACAAACGCGTTCTTTATTATCTTAGACTATGGTACTCAAACAATTGCATAAAATATTAAAAAATACTTTTTCGTTCAGAAGTTACGATGTTTCGAAATTTAGCTATTCATAGCTGAACACTTTTTAAATGGTTCCATGACCCTAAAATAAAGCTTGGATACACAAAAACACAGAAATCTGACCATTAGTTGATTAATAACTTCAAACGTTACTTTTTACAACAATGTGTAAAATGTCAAAAGTAGAGGAATTTTAAGGACCCCCATCAAATTAGCGTCGGGCACTTAGTACAAATGTGGAATGGTGGAATTTGAAACAGGGTGGCTCCTTGTATTTTTGAATTTTCTCGCTACTTGGGGACCTAATTGAAAAATCTAGAATGCAAAATTTTTTAGAATAAGAAGATCTAACAGTAGTTTTGGGCAAATACGAGGCCTATTAATAATTCGAAAATGCATTTGAAAACACACAGCTATATTTACTGCTCCTCTCACAGAGGTTGTGCCAATATGCACGATAAGCCAGGATATTAAAGGTTAATTCAAGCTCCTTGTCTGAAAGTTTCATTAAAATCAAAACCACAGGTTTTGTGAAAATTATTGTTACAGAAAGCTAATTGTACAATATCGGATTCGGAGACTTGGATAATGAGTACTGGATCAATGTCGCGAAACTGCATAATGGAAACGTAGGCGATGCCCTGCTAGACCATGAAAACCAAATCTTCGAGTTCTATAACAATTGGAAAGGCGTTAATAAGTGGTTAGATAGATAATTTTTAAGTCTAAACGTTTTTTATCATTTTTTTCTTATAGTAATTTGAATGCAAATTACGGCAAAGCGAGGACCAACTTCGAACCAGAAGGATTTTGGTGGGGTGGGTTAAAATATCTCGTAAAATCGAGCTCTGGGACATATATGTATTTAGAAGATACGCCTAAATGTATGTCTTTGAGCTCGATAAGTTTCTTTTAAAAAAACACTTATGGATATGTGATCAATTTTAAGAACAGGCTACTGAGTAACGGATAATTTAAGTCTAAAAACTAGATATTTTCCCTAATATACCTGTTACTAATACACTCAGGGAAAAACGCCGTGCTAAAATCAAGTACAAACAGCTTTGATTTAAGAACGTTCGTGCTGAAAAAGATTTTTTGACTAAAATATCTGTCAACTCTTTTTTATCTGAAAGTGCTCGGTATATAAGGCGCATAAATTTCGTAGTGTTAATGCCCGAGAGCAGAAAATCGTACGTAAACTCAAGAAATTTATATCATTCTGATATATCACGTTTATTTCAGTTTCCAATACTTACTTCTATTTCTAGCGTATAATTATAACCCAATTTAAAATTACAATATATGTATATTAATTTAAGAATTCATTTTCCTTAAATCATGCCCGCAACTTTCTTACTTTATTATTAAATTGTTGTTGTTTTTAGTACAAATATGACTAGATTTAAGAATTATCATACTTGATTGTAGACCAAAGGTTTCCTAAAAATAATACCTTGAAAAAGTTACCTTATGTGTCCAGTTTCTACACCATAAACCTATACCGTCACTTAGCCTATAGCGCCAACTAGCTTATAGCGCCCCTAGCGGCTTTGTATTAGTGAAAACAGCTGGTTTGCTGCATGTGGTGTGCAATCTAAATTGAATTGCAAAATATTGCCCAGAAATCTGCATGCCAAGTCTACAACATTCAAGTTCTTATGTTTTCCGAGATTTCAGCGTTTGTACGGACAGACAGACATGACTAGATCGATTCGACTAGTGATCCTGATCAAGAATATATATACTCTATGGGGTCGGAAACGCTTTGTTCCTGTTACATAATTTCCGACGAATCTATAGTAGGCATTATAGTAGTTCATAAGGACCTAAATCCATTCAGTCCTTCAATACATATTTATATAGTCTTTTTAGTCCATTGTTCCTCAAATAAAGTTAAATAGACTAAAATCAAGGAAATGTTTTTTCCTGAGTGTCTACAGACAAATTCCAACAATTCTGTGGGGAGTGGGTATCTCGTAGTCGGGGCACGCGTTCTTTCTTTGGTATGTGCTTCCCAGTCAGTCGCGCCCCTAGGGTAGTATATATTCTACCTAAGTGGCGATTAGACTGCTGCTCTCTCTGCCCCTTCTGATAACGCTGACGCTGACTGTTGTGGGCGGTAAAAAGGCGGGGGATAGACAATCGACTTCTGACAAGCTGATTGCCCGTTTGACTTTGAGGGAGAAGCTCGCGACCCAAACGACTTTGGCTAGCTATAATCAGTAGTAAGCTTGTAGTAAACAGAGGTGTGCCGGATCAGTGCCTCACTGACACCCAAGCAGTTGCTGTCAACCGTTTTAGGGGAAGGAACTAGACTGAGACGCACCGAAATGTCGATTACCCTTGAGGAGGAGATCTTCGGCCTGGCCGTGAATCCGTTCACCAAATCCCCGGAAATGGTGCGCCGGTTTACGCTGAAGAACTCCAAAGGAATGACCGTTTCGGTGATCCAACTGGGGGCAATCATCCAGAGCGTCTGCATGCCTGACGCCTACAAGAAGGTGGATGATGTGTGCCTTGGGTTCGACGACATCGCCAGTTACGTGGCCAACAAGGGAGCATACATTGGAGGAACCCTCGGACGAGTGGCAAACCGGGTGGCGAACGGCGAGTACACAGTAAACGACACAAAAGTCTCGGTGACGAAAAACATTCAGGTAAATATTTTAGTGAAATCTATTTTGTAGTATTTCTAAGAACTCGACTTTCGAAACTATTCTGTTAAAAGGGATAAGTAAAATCAAAGGCATATAAATGTAATTTCCTGGACTGGACATTATGTTATTAAGTATACGTAACTAATGTAGAAATTTCGTAATTGCAGGACAAATTCCAGCTACACGGTGGATTCGTGGGATTTGACAGCGTCATCTGGGAGGTTGTGCAGAAGTCTTCCGAGGGCGTGGTCTTCCGACACGTATCGCCGCACGGTCACGAGGGCTATCCGGGCAAGCTAACATGCCTGATCACATACCAGTTAGACAATGAGAATCGATTGTGGGTCAGGTACGAGGCTACCACAGATCGCTCAACTATGGTAAATCTCGCGAGTCATGCCTACTTTAACCTGGCGGGTCACGGATCCGGAGCTAAGGGTCTGGCGGAGCACACGGTGGAGATTGCTGCCGATCACATTGTGGACACGGACGAATTGCAGATCCCCACCGGGAAGTTAATCGACGTTAAGGACACCGTCTTCGATCTCAGGTTGCCCGTACTGATGCGCGACCGGCTGATGCAGTTTGAGGACCGTTTGATTAAGGGCTACGATAACTGCTTCGTGGTCAACGGAGGACAACTGCAGAACAGTGTCGCCAAGGTGGCCAAGATTGTGCATCCGCAGTCTTGCAGGGTGCTGGAGGTCTGGACCAACCAGCCCGGCATGCAGTTCTACACCGCTAATAATTTAACCTCGATAGTGGGCAAGAATTGCACTCAGTATGTGAAACACGGCTCGTTTTGCGTGGAAACGGAGAAGTTCCCCGATGCCATGAACCACCCGGAGTTCCCGTCGATCAGTCTCGAGGCGAACGAGAAGTACCGGCACGAGGTCCTCTACTGGTTTAAGGTCGAGGAGTCCTGGAAGTGCTGCTGCAACAACGACCCGTGAGCGTTGCCGTCGTTTCTCTTAAATAAAGCTGGATAATTACCCTGGTTCCCAACCCCAAAGTCTATAGATTTTTTTATACTCGTTACTCGTAGAGTAAAGATTATCGATCCTTTAAAGTATATACAAACATATGTTCTGGATCAGGATCACTATCCGTCTTTTTGTCCGCGTAAACGCTATGGAAACTGTAAAAGATATAGAGTTGGGATGTTAGATTAAGATTCCTTAGCTTTATTATTATTAATTGTTAATATTTTGAAGTAAAGTAGATAAAAATGTAAACAGTATAATAGCGTGTTTTACGAGTCTCTTGCTTCTTGAATTAATGGGAATGATTCTTAAACCATAATTTCGAAAACATAATTTTAAAGAAATCGTTGTTCCACAATAGAAAACAGCGGATAATTTTCCAGTGCAAGCCACCTTACACGGTTTTTGTAAGTATCTTCATAATAAGTGACATTTTTTTAAATTTTAGGTCGGATTCGAAAAGATAACTTTAATTCGTTGGGGAGAATAGGGTATAATGACGAACAATACGTTTTTTAAATGTAAAAAGTGTAGAAGCAGAAAGTGGCCGACTTCTAATGAGCATATTCTTGTAAAAGATCGATGGTAAAATTTCAGAGGTGAAGGCAATAATTTTTTCACTTTCAAAGTTGAAGGGTGACGAACTGATAAATACACACTAAAACTCTATGCAGATATGAATATTTTTATACCCGTTACTCGTAGAGTAAAAGGGTATACTAGATCGTCGGAAAGTATGTAACAGGCAGAAGGAAGCGTTCCGACCCACAAAGTATATATATTCTTGATCAGGATCACTAGCCGAGTCGATCTAGCCATGTCCGTCTGTCCGTCTGTCCGTCTGTCCGTCTGTCCGTCTGTCCGTCTGTCTGTCCGGATGAACGCTGAGATCTCGGAAACTATGAGAGCTACGCTGTTGAGATTTGGCGAGCAGATTCCTGAGCTTCTTACGCAGCGCAAGTTTGTTTCAGTACAGAGCCACGCCCACTCTAACGCCCACAAACCGCCCAAAACTGTGGCTCCTACAGTTTTAGTGCTAGAGTAAAAATTTTAACTGAAATGTATTGTTCTTATCAATACCTATCGATTGACCCAAAAAAAAGTTTGCCACGCCCACTTTTACGCCCACAAACCGCGAAAACCTGTGACGCCCACAATTTTCATGCTAGATAAAAAATTTTAACTGAAATGTATTGGTCTCGTCAATACCTATCGATTGATCCAAAAAAAATTTGCCACACCCACTCTAACGCCCATAACGCTTAGATCTGTATACCGCCGGTAGGTGGCGCATTTTAATCTCGCTTTGCTGCTTGCATATCTCCATTTAGCTGAGTAACGGGTATCTGATAGTCGAGGTACTCGACTATAGCGTTCTTCCTTGTTTTAACTGAAATGTATTGGTCTCGTCAATACCTATCAATTGATCAAAAAAAAAAAAATACACCACAAAGTATTAAATGAAGAATATAAACATAGATTTAATAGTTCAATATTGTTATCTCATGAACATTGGTAGTTCCTATAATTTTAAACCCATTTTTGAAAAGTGGTGCTATTATTATACCCGTTACTCGTAGAGTAAAAGGGTATACTAGATTCGTCGGAAAGTATGTAACAGGCAGCGTTTCCGACCCCATAAAGTATATATATTCTGGATCAGGATCACTAGTCGAGTCGATCTAGCCATGTCCGTTTGTCCGTCTGTCTGTCCGGATGAACGCTGAGATCTCGGAAACTATAAGAGCTAGGCTATTGAGATTTTGCGTGCAGATTCCTGAGCTTCTTACGCAGCGCAAGTTTGTTTCAGTAATGTGCCACGCCCACTCTAACGCCACAAACCGCCAATACGGTGCTCCTACAGTTTTCATGCTAGAATAAAAATTTAACTGAAATGTATTGTTCTTATCAAAACCTATCGATTTACCCAAAAAAAGTTGCCACGCCACTTTAACGCCCACAAGCCGCCCAAACCTGTGACGCCACAATTTTCATGCTAGATAAATGTTTTAACTGAAATGTATTGGTCTCGTCAATACCTATCAATTGATCCAAAAAAAATTTGCCACGCCCACTATAACGCCCATTACGCTTAAATCGGCGCACCTTAATCTCTCTTTGCTGCTTGCATATCTCATTTCCCTTTGGTAACGGTATCTGATAGTCGGGTACTCGACTATAGCGTTCTTCCTGGTTTATTTTTTTAAATGTTTGTCACGATACCCTACAAGGTACTGTCTGAAAATATAATGGTGCCACATTCATCAGGCGTAACAGAAAAAAACACAAAGTACCAAAAACTGTTGCTAAAGATCTTATTAATACTTGTATATATTTATATGACTTGGCTTTCCAAAAATCTTTGCTCTGGCCCTGCTGAAACACATACAAATTGAAAAGGTTTACATTTGCTCCACCTTTTTAGTTAAAATATCTTGGTAAATATATTGTCGCCACGATAAGAGACTACAATTACTTGGAATTTTTGACGTTACGTCACATATGAGATTTGATGAGTTCGTCACCTTATCCTACTTGTCACCTTACCCTAATCGTCACCTTACCCTAGTCGTCATCTACCCTACTCGTCACCTTGCCACCTACAGTCCCCTATTTTTAGTACCCTCCCCTACTTATTTTAGTATTTCAAAACAGAAAATACCTACAAAAAGCGTATCAACAAGCCTAGCAAGAAGGCTGGCAAATAGCCAAACAATACTCCTAGCAATAATGGAAAAAAAAAAAGATTAGCAGCAAGACATTCAGAAACCCTAGAAAAGCCTAGCAATGGGCCTACCAATAAGCCTCGCAAAAGCTTATCCAAAATTGTAACAATCCTAGCAGTTAGAGCCTAGGAAGAAGCCTTGCAAAAAGCCGATAAATAGTAATAACAAAATGTTAAGCAACAAGCCTAGCAGAATGCCCTGCCCAACAATAAGCCCAGCAAAAAGTCAAGAAAAAGACGTACCGAAAAGCGTATCAAAACATAGTAATCAGCTTAGAAGCTGAAGCAGATTGTGCAGATTGATGATCTCCACCACGATCCTAGTAGTCTTGGACCTGACAGAAGAGCGTGTGTGCTATTTGAAATACTTAGATACATAAGTCGCCGCAGCAACGCAGTCTAAATTTTAGTAATTTTCCTCTAGGCATTTGGCGAAATCTCACCGAATCCAGCAGCCCTGCAGGCACGTCAGGATGGTGCGAGTGATCGAGGACATGTTTGGCATCGCCGTCAACCCGATGACCCAGAAGACGGACAGGGTACGGCGCTTCACGCTGAGCACCGAGCGCGGGATGTCGGTGTCGATCCTGACGATGGGCGCAATCATACAGTCGCTGAAGGTACCGGACTTCAATGGCAAGCTGGAGGACGTTTGCCTGGGCTACGACGACGTGGCAGGTTACTACCGGAACCAGCCCAGCTACTTCGGGGCCACAGTCGGCCGGGTGGCCAACCGGATAGCCCACGGGCGGTTTAAGCTCTGCGGCAAGGAGGTGAGTGTCAGCCGGAATGTGCGGGACCGGAACCACATCCACGGCGGATTCGTAGGCTTCGACAGCGTCATCTGGGACGTGGTGGGCGTGCACAAGGACGGGGTCACCCTGCAGCACATCTCGCCGGACGGTCACGAAGGCTACCCGGGCGAACTGACCACCAACATTAACTTCTCGCTGAACGAGACGGGCTGCTTTGGGATGCGGATCGAGGCGCGGACGAAAGCCACCACGGCGGTGAACATCTCGAACCACAGCTACTTCAACCTTGCCGGCCAGGGGGCGGGCAAGGATGCGCTCTACCAGCACATGCTGATGATCAAGGCCCAGAAGATCGTGGACGTGGACCAGGAGCTCCTGCCCACCGGCAAGCTGATGCGCGTGCGCACCACTCCGTACGACTTCTCCAGCCTGGTCAGTCTGGGCAAGCGGCTCAACCAGGTGAGCTCGTGCCCGCTGGGCGGCTTCGACAACAACTTCTGCGTGGACGTCCCTCCCAACAGGGTGCAGTTGGTTGCCAGGGTGGTGCATCCGTGCAGCGGACGGTTCATGGAGGTGCATACCAACCAGCCGGGTCTGCAGTTCACCACGGCCAACAATCTGCCGGACGAGGACTGCGGGGACATCCCTAACGTGGGCAAGGACGGGGCCCACTACGTCCGCCAAGGGGCCTTCACCCTGCAGACTCAGAAGTACCCGGACGCCATGAACCACTGCGACTTCCCCCCGATCGTCCTGAATCCCGGCCAGCTGTACGACCACCAGGTGGTCTATCGCTTTGGCGCCTGTCCCAAGCGCGTTTAGGAGCCTGTGGGGGACGAAGAACCAGCACGCCCGCTGCATTTTGCCACCTTAAATTTAATTAGAAGTGCCAATCAGAGCACCTACATATTTGGCAAGCTTTAGAAATGTAAATTACATAACCTTTATTATTTATAACTTGTTTATTTGATTCAAATCGCTATAGCGCCAGGAACTATTGTGTTGGCGCGGTAAAAACTGATTAAGCTCAGCGATCTAATGCTTATAGATTTCAAAATCTTGACTAATGCGACAATTCCTATATCAACTAATGGAAACAATCATGTTATCCAATAAATAGAATTTTATTTTCACCGTTAATCATAGCAGATTTTGGAGTGTAACAAAGGCTTTCGAAAACAAACATGATTTTTTTCATTTAATTAAGATTTCTAACACGGTACTTCGAACCCAATATGCATACAGTGGCGAAAAAATAATAGCACCACTTCAATATATTTTCTTCTGGGTCGGGTCAATTAAATTTATCTATAATTTCAATATTTTGAACATAAAAAGTTTGATAATACCATTGAATGGGACGTGGAAAGCATTGCACCGAGGAAAAGCGTGATATCATCCAAAAGTTGATAAAGGATGAAATCACAGAAGTGGTCGATTGTCGATAAATAAAATAAAAACTAAAAAAAAAAAAGAAAAAAAACCAATATATCAGTCAATCGATGATCGTCAGAGCAAAGGATCTTTCAATCTGCTACTAAAAAAGTTA